TATCCGTTAGCAGCCGTGTGAGAACATAGCCTTTTTCAACGAAATAATGTTTTGTTACTAAAATGTCATTGTTTTCAAAAAGTGAATATTTTCTCTACAAAAAGTCCTTTGTCAACAAATGAATTATTCCGTCATAGAGAAGGCTTAATTTTAGAAGAGGAGTTCAATCAAGACTTGTGGCTATAATAACAAAGAACATATACCAACAAAAAAATAAATAAAAAATAGAAAAAAAAACAAAAAAAACCCCTCTTTTGTCGTTAGAAATGTCTCTGTTGACAGAATATTCAATTTTAAAAGAGTTCTCTACCGATAAAATAGTTAATTTCTCGATAGAATAGTTTTGACAAAATGTCGGAAATGTTAGATCCCACTGGTTTATACATCTTCTAAAAATAAATTGGAAAATTTATAAGGGTAAAATCAGGTAGAATGAATGAAATAACGTCACACGGACACATAAACAAGAACGGACGGTATTTTAACAATTACGTGATCACACATAATCTAGATTAAGATCATTATTTGGAGCAAAACAAAATCAATTAATACAAGTAATTGTGATAAACCCTAAACAGAGGCGAAGAAGTCCATCACAGTGGATACTACTTAAAAAAAGTAACGTCCAGAAAGACTTAGGGTCTCGTTTAGGTTCACGGAGTTAAAACCACATTAGGCTTAAAAATGTTTGGAAGAAAATTAAGTTCATTGTATATAATGGGAATTAAATTAAATTTTATACTTCTTTTATGTATGTCTTACCTTTTTATGGCAGCATATAAGGCAGCATATCTTGGCCCATCACGTACTGTTTAAATTATTGTGGTTGATTAAAAGGAATCCTAAACCAATACGTATAAAATTGCAAGAAATCCGACTATTGTGGTTTCATTGGAAAGTAATCCTATTTCAAAAAGTATTGTTATGAAGGGGTGTGTCCTTAAAAAGAAGAGTTTCGAGCGATTTTAATTCTAATAGGGCGCCCCTATATCGTGACAGTGCATACAACATCAGGGAACCCTTGCAGTCATAGATTACTCTTTGGTAGGACATTTACAATTTTATACTCTTTGACTAAACTTTATTAAAATTATTTTTGTTTATAATCTGGATGACATTATACATTCTTTTAACTGTCTGCCTTACCTTGTTGGCAGCCTTCCCCAGCCCATCCTTCTTTACAAGCATCACCAACTGGGCAATTTCCACTATTTCGATTACAATTTGATGAGCCTTCACAGTGACATATTTTGGTGCACTGTTCGCCATAGAAGCCACCGGGACATTCGACATTCGGATCTCTTTCTACCATAGGAGGAAAACACATTTTGTAAAGATACCACAAGTAGTCATTGTTCTTAATAGAAGTACAGTAACATCTTTTCTTTTATCTTCCATGTTGTTTTTTTTTCTATCTTTTTGCACTGGTTTTTTTCACCCGGCACTTTGGTCACTTTCCATGCTTGGATCTTTTCCATACTTTGTCGAATCATAGACCACATAGGCGGATCTGGGTTCACATTTAGGGGATCGTGCAACTGGTGATAAGTGCACATAAGTGAAGTGTGTAATTATGTTAATCTATGATCAAATTGGTAGAATAGGAATTATCCTGTTGACAGTTGCACAGGAGAGGTGATAGAAGGTGAACTGAAAGGGTTTGGTGCAGTAGACATGCCCAAGCTGAATCACCTAAGGTTTAAGAAAGTGTGGTAGGTAATGGAGAGCACCACTGAAATGTGTGCACTATAAATACAAGAACAAAATTTAAAAGGACCTATGTAAGTACTGTTGATAATTTATAAATGTGAAATTATGTAGCTTCCATAGGTATTAATTATACGTTGAATAGTAAATGCAGGTAGTGGAATGCACATAGGCATTACATGGTATGTGGCTTTATACTTGCCTTGAATATGGTTAAAGTGGATTAGTTGTACATTTAATTGGTATGAGAATGAATTAATATTATTGTAGTTCTGGATTTCATTTATTTGTAGTGCCATCCGAGATGTGGAGTTTATATGCTTATGATGGTATGCTTATGATGTCAGCCCGAAAATGATGCTAGCCCAAGATGGGAGCATGATATAGGCAGTAGTTTGTGATTTATGTTTGAAGGTGCTGTGCTGTAGAAGTTGACGGTACTATGTATAAAAGTAATTATTCAAAGGAAGACAAGCAGAGGTGGTGAAGTTGGCAAGTTCATGGAAACTAAGGCAATGCTTTGAACATTTGCTTAAATACCTGAGTTATTATATATAATTTAAAATAGGCTTCATTAACAATTGGTACCAATTTGATTGTAGATACGTTTGTTTGATAATTATTATTATAATTATTATTATTACTCATATAAATGTGTGTTGTGAATGTTGATAATTTATTTTTGAACTTTCTTTGTTAACTTGTCGTTTTGTACATCACCTAAACACATAGTCGCAACACCCTAGTCAACGTTTCCAAGTCCACCTTGGGTGTGATACCCTATGTTGTACAGACATAGTAAGTCTAGTTAATGGCTGTATGCATTCTGATTTCTTTTTTAAACAACCTTATCATAAGTTTATTACTATATTAAAATTGATGATTTAATTAATGTGGTATATAAAAACTAAATGTACTTGTACAAACCTAGACAACGGCTGCCAGTGTAACCAGTATGACAAGTGACTCCTTCGTTGCAGCCCTCTGACGGCTGACAGTCAGCAGCGTCACAGTGACAATCAAGAAGGCATCCCGGTCCATATTTGTCTGTTGTTCCAGTGTCACAAACTAAGTAACATAAGCAGAATATATTCTGGAGAGCTTAATTTTGTTTTCTAAATATATTGTATACTGAATTCGTGTATGATACTTTATGATAAAAGAGTTGCGTGTACCGGAATATTTTTATATTGTGTAAGTTGTGTAGTACTCCAATAATTAGGGATGCGACTAATTAATGGAAAGAAAAGGGAAAAATCTCGCATGTAGTACCCATAGTAAATACTATTAAGTAGGGATTCAACTATGTCTGTCTCTTATACACATCTAGATGTGTATAAGAGACAGTATATAAATCAAGGTAGCCGTTAATACTGTTAAATTATCTTTGAATTTATATATATTTAAAGGAAATATCCAGAAAGCAAGTAGAATAATACAACGAATTATATAACTTGAAACGTAAAAATAGTGGAATCTGACAAAGAAAGGAAAAACCCTCAGCCTCCACCCAAAACGTAATTATTATTCATTGGATTACTCTTCTCGTTGTTTATAGGTTTTCCCATCCTTTTAATTCACTACACACATAAATACATAAATACATATAATAAATAGATAATAAAAGAATATAGAAACGATTATATATACATATGTAAACTTTAGAAACACTTAATTGGAGAAAACCAATATTTCGACTTATCCCTAGGTCTTTATCAAGGTACACTATTATCATTTATATTAGTGGTTTTAAAATATAATTATAATATATATATGTATATGTATATAAAGTATATATAAATATTGATTTTGGATCAGTAAATCGAAAGAAAAATCTAATCATTAGCGTACTATACTGGCCAAAATATGTAAAACAGTTCAATTAGCATTTTCATGTGAAATGTTGTTACCACAAAATCTGGACAATGTTGCAAATATTTTAATGCCTATAACAACTCCTTGGTAAGAAACGCAAAATAGTACCACAAATTCAAGCTGTAGGCACACACTCTATTGAAAGAGTAAAATCTACAATTAATTAAAGACATAAATAGCTGGATCATGGACCTATTAAATTAATAGGTCCATGGTTGGATGTACTACTAGGCTAATTTCCGAAACTGATTTTGTTAAAATTGTGCTATAAATAGTAGTTGGATTGTATATCATAACTGAATTTTATTTTTATTCAATTCAGGACAGCAAAGGCGGATAATAAGATAGTATAATTTGTTATATTAATTGTTGGAACATATAAAATATCTGAAATTTTAACTGACTGCTTTTGATAGCTTTTCTTAATTATTTTAATGATTCTTGTTTTATTTATTGAACGTGTAAAATATAAAATATATTAAACTGTATTTATTCTAATTAAACTATAATAAACTAATTTTCTCTGGTTTCTTTAAACCTAACTACAACTTAATCGGCTGGAGTATTGATCAATTGATCGATTGTTCAATGAGTCGATTGATCAAAAGTTGATCAATCGATATATTAATTTGTTAACTGGTTGATTAGCGGTTGATCGGTTGGTGGTTTGGTCGGTTGATTAATTGGTCGATCTGTTGCTCGATCGATCGATCGATTGATTATTGATTGATGACAATGTGTGAAAAGTACTGTTTAGATTTATTTATTATATTGGTACAAATTAATAATAGATTGAAAAAATATCACATAGACAAAGATGCAAATCAATGCGTTGAAAGTTACCTTGGCTACAATCAGTGTCACCATATCCGGACATACATGAACAACCGAAAGGATCAGGTAGACAAAACATGACATTTGGACAACCTGGATTATTTGAGCTGCAAATTATATTGCATTCGCGCCCCCAGTTGTTATAACCACACGCTATGAAAAGTAAATCGAGAATGTTATTAAGTGAGATCACTTCTCATTCGTTGACATCTGCTAGGCCTACATATTTGTGATCAACTCTACTTTATCAGTACACTTAAAAATTGTATGTTGGTATTTGTATAATTATTCTGCACGTATTAATCTTTAACAGTAACATTTAATATATTGTATGTAAGTTTTGAAATAAACGGCTTTAAAAGACATGTAATTCAGAGGTTTAATAAATAGTATGTATTTCAAAATTAATTTAATATGCCTACAATTTTAATTAACTTTAATTTTCTACTGTTTGGCTGATAGCTTGAAAATGCCGACAATAAAAAGGTTTTGCCAGAGACGGTCACATCTACAGTTCTTGCATTTAAGTTACGTCTAATAGTAATACCAATTAAAAATTGGAATTAAAAAACACATAAAAATGCTTTAGTGTATAGTATAAACATAGTATATTTATATAAAATATTGTATATCGGTAAAATTGTGGTATCTTGATAAATATATCATTGAAAGTTTAGTCTCTAATAAATATTTATCATATTATTGGATAATGTTGTGTTTTACTGTTGTACATTGTCATATTTTCCCCATGAGAACGAATAATATTATACCTACCTTCTTCACAGTTATCTCCAGTGAAGCCCGGCGGACAGATGCAAGATCCGAATTGATCAGAACACACGCCTCCATTATAGCATATAGGGCAATTGATTTCACAATTAGGATGCAGCCACTTTCCTTGAGGGCATTCTGTCGATTGATTAGAAAGCAAAATTATATATATAATAATAATAATAATAATAATAATAATAATAATAATAATAATAAAAATAAAAATAAAAATAATAATAATAATAATAATAATAATAATAATAATAATAATAATAATAATAATAATAATATAAACCATATTCTTCGTATAAATTGCTATAAATAATATAGAAAAATGTAAAAATAAAACCCTAAAAGAAACTCAATTTGGTTGTAAAAACAGAGGGGCTTAAATTTTTAAAATTATACAAAAGAAAAAAAAAAGTTTAACGATTAAATACAATCAACAAAATTTAGAGAAATAGAATACATCATTGACGCAAACAAACCTTCTAAGTCTAACTTAAATAGGAGAAAATAATAAAGAATAATTTACAAATACAAAATTACATATAAAATTTGGAAAACAGTCACAAAATAATGATAAAATAATAATAATAATAATAATAATAGTAGTAGTAGTAGTAGTAATAATAACAATAATAGTAATAATAATAATAATAATAATAATAATAGTAATAATAATGATAATAATAATAATAATAATAATAATAATAATAATAATGATAATAATAATGATAATAATTTTTTATTTGCATTTTTTCGGTGATATAGGCTAAATGAAGGCAGACAGACTCATCTACAAATTAAACCTGCATTCACATCAGATCCAAACCGATTGAAATCATTATAATAATAATAATAGTAGTAGTAGTAGCAATAATAATAATAATAATAATAATAATAATAATAATAATAATAATAATAGTAATAATAATAATAGTAATAATAATAATAATAATAATAATAATAATAATAATAATAATAATAATAATAATAATAATAATAATAATAATAATAATAATAATAATAATAATAATGATAATAATAATAATAATTTTTTATTTGCATTTTTTCGGTGATATAGGCTAAATGAAGGCGAGAGAGACTCATCTACAGATTAAACCTGCATTCAAATCAGATCCAAACCGATTGAAATCAGGCCGCGTTCCGAAGCGCTGAACGCCATTGTCCCTCTTCTTACAAACTGATTCGGTTTTCAAATCGGTTCTGTAAGCCTTCTGATCCTAAAATTCAAAATCGGTGTAAATGCACCTTAATGTGGCATTGCCAGGTTCGTTTGGGGCAGATCTTTTTCCTTTGACTTTACCAGTTTTTAATTAAATTGTTACGTGTATGCATTGAGGGGGCAATGAAGGCCGTTTTCCATTGCTCCGACATTGACGATGTCTTTCCAATTTGCTGTACTGATTCCGAAAATTTATTTTCACTAAATTTTTAAATCCTAAATTTTGCCTTACGATTTCGTCAGTCAAGTTGTTCACCATACAATGACTGCCTGGGAAGTTATGCCATTCATGCGATTGTTGTAGAGATATTTGTAGAGTTATAATTTTAAAGGAATTGTCATATAAGATATCCTGTCTTGCATTTCATGTTATTCATGTTGTTGCACAGACATCATTGAAGACAAAAGTAGTTCTATGATGTCTGTATTTCACTACCATACAAAAGTGTTCCAAGAACGCATGCATCAAAACAATTGTTTTTAAAAATAAACAGGCCTTCTGTTTCTCTATCTACTTCTAAATCTACCAAACATTGCTGAAGTGTTAAATGTGAGACAGAAAAATTATGTGGAATGCAAGCTGATAACTTCGCAAATAACATTATTATGTACACAATTAATTTAAAAAAAGGAAACATTTTTTAAAGACAGTGTCACACACCGATAAATAAAGTAAAATCTAGAATACAATAAACAATTATGCTTGTTTTTAATAAAATTTACCTCGAACAAGTACTCGTACAATAGCGTGTTGACCCTGATCTCGTTGTCCTTCCGGGTAGCATTCGTAGATACCAGCGTCTTTTTTCCGAACATTTTCAACGGTAACAATGCTGAGACCGTCCCATTCCATTATATTTGATCCTCCATCTTTTTTCCATCGTAAGCTGCTAATTTCAACACCATCAACTGTCATTATCAGTTCAAGCGTTTCACCGATACTGGTTGTATGCTGTCTCTTATACACATCTAGATGTGTATAAGAGACAGATTTGATAAGCAAGCACCTAAAAAGTAAACGTAAGTAAAACAGCCAGAAATAGGATCAGAGCTTTAAGTCAACAATAGTCCTTACTCAGTGGCGAGTGAGTGAAAGTAGAAAAAGTCAGATAGCATAAAGTGAGAAGTCATGCAAGTATGATTAGAAAAAATAGGCTCTGTGAGATATTGCAGTGAGGGTAATGAACAGCGTAAAGAAAGAGTGAACAAGAAGGCCAACATTAAACTTCAGACACACGATACACATTGTTTATGGCTTCCAATGGGCAAAACCTTTTGGAAGGTGTATGTGTACTTGACATTGGCATTAGTAGCCACTCACCTCTATATGTACTCATACCTACAGTACAGCAATACCTCTAAAAAAAACCCAAATCATCTCTCTTGACCAATCTGGCTAATCTGGTCGACATTAACGAAATATGGTGTGAATGGACAAACATTATGCAAGTAAGACGTTTAGACCTAAAAAGAACACCGAACCGTGGATCAATTCATCAATTCCGAAATTAAAGGCTTAATCATATACCGCAAGCAACTTTTTAGGAAAGAAAAAAAATCAAAAGTGATTGACTGAAATATAAATAATTAGGAATAGGGTCACCTCATTAACTAGTAATAATAAAGTTGAATTCATAAACAGTATATGTCATAGATCAAAAGAAAAATCCTGCCAAGTTCTGGCAACATTTTGATAAGATTATCGGGCGTCAAAGCAAGAGAACAAACTACGATACTGTAAATCCATAAACGTAAACGGACTCTGCCAACTGTGGATCTACTGCTAATGCATCCAACCATTTTTCCTGCTTCCACTGCTTTCTTTCTTCTTTCCTGTTAAACATATTGACGCCTCCGCTTTATCGAAGATTCCTGATACCCTCAATCGTCTAACTACTTCGGATCAGATTTCAAACATTCTCACATCGAACAAAGTCAACTGAACCTGATGGTCTCTCTGCTTTATCTCTTAAGAGCACTGCTCCTGCCATATACTCTTACATTTCTTTTATTTTTTATTCAATGCACTACTCGTGACAGCAGTTATTCAACCTATTCACAAAGGGGGTTCGTATACCGATATAAGCAACTACCATAGACCAATTTCAATCATGCCCTTGATTGCCAAATTTGACGAGAGAATCATCTATGAACAAGCCTTTAACTTTCTTGATCAACACTCATACAGTACTTCTGTTCACTAGTTAAATTGGTGTATAAAGCCAGGCTGGCATACGACAAAAAACATGTTCTAGGTGCTGTCGTGATAGATTACTTTTGGGCATTTAATTCAATATTTAAAAGAGTAAAATGCTGTGATTATTTCTCAATGGACTCCAGTACTAAGGGCATTCAAGTTCCCCAGGGATCCCTAATGGGTCCTCTTCTCTTTTCAATATATTTGTACGATTCTTTTTATTGGGTGTGCACCTTTTTCTAATTCTCTACATACTGATATCGTCACCGTTTTCACAAAGAGACACATACTTCAATTTTGAACAAAACATCGTTTTGAGAAAAACGCGTTTGAAGTATAATACTTCACAAAACCTAATTTTCACTATCAAGATATCGACATCTTAAATAGTTTTTGTTACATATGTTTAATTTTTAATTACTGTGAAACGTTTGTCTCTGTTCATGAAAATGAAAAAATAAACCCAGCATAGGTTGTTTACACGTACAGCAAAGTTTGTGTCTCTTCGTGAAAACGAAAATCTCAATTTACGTGTTGTGCTCTGTTGGCAGATAAACTGGGTTTTAGCCTATGTTTTTCCGTAGTCAAGTGTGATTATAGGCCTACAAGTCTTATCCTGCTTAAAGCATTATGGTTTTACTAATAATTCCACACCTGCATGTATATAGGCCTAGTCCAAATTATAGGCCTACTGCGAGAAGGATACCTTATGCTTATATGAAAGTTAGGGAATCTAACGTTTACCTATAGCCCACGGTGTCTTCACGAATAGGGGTTTTGGACAAAAAGAGTTGAACTATAGAGGGCGTTACATTACGTAATTCTTCTGAGTCAGCGAAATCAATGAAGTGGAACGATGTATTGATCACTACGCTAACGAGTTTATTAGTACAGGAATTCGCGTAATATATCAGATATTACGGAAAATATAAGCTATCTTTCATGAATTCAAACTAATTACAAGTTACTTATATGTGTATTAAACCACACATTTCAATTATTACGTTTTAAAAAAAAAGTTTACTTGTATTTTTAGTTGTATTTTTGAGGCCTATTATACAGAGATGAAGTAAACAAACAGCGCCACCACCCAAAGTCAAGGTACTTAAGTGCGAAACTTTAAATCGTCTGTCAACACATGTTATCCATCATTTAGAAATCTGGTTTTTTTTGTATACTTTCTTATTAGATGTTATTTTATTCTGTTTCAAAAGCAAAAAATTTTGTAACGGTTGAATTTTGAGAAAAGGGTATATAAAAATGCACTTAATTAATTACTCGTGAACACTATAAAAAAAATTCCCAATCTATTCATAACACTGTAAAAATAGGGGAACTCCACTATCAAACGTATTATCGAATGTTAACAAATAAATTATTTGATATAGCAGATACCATATTTTCATCAGTTCACAAAATGGAACGCGCCCGGATCCCTAGGCCGGATGTGAGCTCGGTCAGTTTTTCTTCTTGAAAGCCTTTCATAAGATTATTTTTAATATATAACTGATTCCAAGAAAACTGCCTTTCTGTTGCAAAAGTATGACGTTGTAAGTAAACGACTACTCACAAGCCAGCTCAAATCCCACTGAAAACACGCAATATCGCTTATATTTTCGTAATTTAAACCAAAAATTACTTTTATCTTCAATTTTGAAAACCTTTATTCGATTGACCAAAATAAAAACCCAACTAATTACAAAAAAGAAACACTATGGTGAAGTATGCACACATCGCCACACCAACATTAACACATACTGATAAACCCACCTTCTTTTGCTAGAAACACCATTGACGCTGAAACAATGTAACCATTAAATTCTGTCCACATGTATTTTACACCAATTCTGCGTACACCAACATCAGGGGGAAATTCGAGCCAACATCTAAATGCGTTCGTTGTTGCTGTGCATGCAGAGTAAGTTGTACCAGAAGTGAATATAGAATCCTCTAGATTGTTGTCTAGATTTACTAACTCATTCTCCCCATAATGCGTCCCGCTGTCGTTCACCCATAAACCGATACCAAACATGACGTTGAGGTTGTCTCCATCGTCCTGGCCTGTGTAGGCACGCATATCCGTTTTAGTTCCACTGTCTACAATGTGAGCTGAACTAAATGCAGTAATGTCTGGTACCTTGCCTGAAATGATGGCAGCCAAATACATTTATAAAGTTAATTATTACCATAGATTGAAAGCAGCGGTTCTAATTAATATCAAACATGTTTTATTATAATAAAATATACCTATCGTTATGGAGCTTTCTGATTTCACCAATTTCAGTAATTTTTATATTCAAATATAAAATATACATAATATTTATTAAGCTTTGTAATCATAACAAAGAAATCAAAATGTTCGTTATGTAAAGAGTAAAGGTTATACGTTTTACACAATTCTTTATTAGCTTTTTTGACGACGCTTAAAAGAGTGTAGAATTGAATTTGGTTAAAATGAAATTAAACCTTTTGGAATGCTAAGTGAGGAGCTTGATGTCCCAGTCATATCTGCACCTTTGTGCTCATAGTTCACCATCACAACTACTTCGAATGAATAGTACACATACACTTCAGGTAGTAGGACCGTATAATCTGGCAAATGGAGAGGTTCGTCTACAATAACTGAGTACACAATACTTGGTGTATTCACGTTCCAATACTGTATAGTGTACCCTTGTACAATTCCCATGCCGGTATGTGCATCGTAGCTCCAAGTATCGCATGTTAAAGTGGTTGAAAAGTTTGCAAGGAGATTGAACGTACACGGGTTAGATGAAAAAGAAGGAGGCACTGTAAAACACAAAAAATTGGTCTCACGAGGGAATTATATAATTTGATAAAGGCTTCGGAGTGATTGTATTTCAAAGTTCGCTTAATAAAGCCAAGAAGTTTCAGACCCTTGGAAGTGACATCATTAACGTGAGCACCCCATGATAAATTAGATGCAATGTTAACACCAAGGTACTTGTGAGTAGAAGTGAGCTGAAGACAAGCCTCATTGATGTGATAACTTTTTGGAGATTGTGCTCGACTAGTTGATCGAGTGATTCGCATTATTCTACATTTGTTCGGGTTGAGGGACATTCCACACCCCTCGCTCCACCTACAAACATGGTCGAGATCACTCTGGAGGATGGCTTCATCATTAGAAGAGAAAGTAGTACGATAAAGAAGAGTGTCATCGGCGTAAAGAGGGATAAAAGATTGGATAGTATCAGGAAGGTCACAGATAAATAAATTAAAAAGAATAGGCCCGAGGACTGACCTCTGGGGGACCCCAGAAGTCACAGGGGCAACAGGAGAAGATTGACCCCGAAAAAGAACATTTTGAGAGCGCCCAATGAGAAAAGAATGAAGCCACCTCCAGAGCGAGCCACAAAATCCATAATTATAAAGTTTAGCCAGAAGAGCGGAATGATCAACCCGGTCAAATATAGAGCTGCAATCTAGAAGCACTACGTCAATATGGGGAGGGGATCTTGAGTCAAGAATTGCAGACCAATGGTGAATCACTGACGACAAGAGAGTAGAACAAGAACGGCCCTTAATGAATCCATTTTGAAAACTGGAGACAAGCCCTTTGTCTAACATAAATGATGTAATGTTGTCAACTACTACTCTTT